CCCTCTCCATCATTTGGACACAGACGCCCTGGAAACGGAAGTATTTGGTTTGTTTCGTTCTGGAACTTTGATGAGCACGATTAGTTGCTTTTCGGTGAGCGCCATTACTGGTTTTTTTTTCAAGTGATAAAAATACAAACCGCTGATTTCAACTTTCTCCTTCACATTAACAGCACAGTGAAGGCTAGTGGCACTTTCGGGTTGCAAATCTGGTGGTAATTCTGGACGTAGCAGTTTGATCCGACATGTTGTTTCGCTTTCTGACACAGTTGACATGATTTTGCCGCCTGCTGCAATATTGCTGTCTTCTTCCTCCGTTTCGATTGTTTCCGGAAAATCCTCCAAAGGCACTATGTCGTGCACCTTAAAAGCAGCAAAAAGAGTGTTTCCAAAAAAGTAGTAACAATCAGTTGCGCTTACCACCGGAAGAGACTCGAGGAAACTGACTGAAAAGTTTTATGTCGAATACAGGGTGGTTGAGAGAGAAATCTGGAAGTGGCCAAATGAGAATCTGATTAAAAACTAGAACATTTTGCAAGCCGAAAAATAGAAAAATTAATAAAAATAAAAGCGGATAGTGCAGCATTCATCTCTTGCAAGGATATCGCCTGGAGCTGGCATCAAATCCTTTCTCCTCCTCTGCCTGTTCCTCTTTCAGTTCCATCCCTTCGTCTTTCCTCCTTCTTGTCCGCGCGCCATTGTCTTCTAAAACATTGTCTGCCCACTTAATTCATATACCTTCTGGCTACCAGTACGTTATCACCCTCGTCTCCTACTTTTCACTACCCCGCATCCTCCTATACTACGCAAAAAATACGACTGCTTAAAACCGGAAAGAAACTTGCTGTGCAGAGCTATAATCAACATAAGACCTTTTGTTTCCTACAGCGCTGCTACAGCAAGCAAAAACGCATATTGTCGAGAGGTCGTCTGTGTGTGTGTTCGGAAATGAGTAAACTTTGTCACCCATTTTCATCTCAGCAACTAGGAAAACAGGGAGACTGAAATTTTGGGTATATGTTCCTACCCCTTGTGTCATCCTTCCGTTTAAAAATTTTCGCTCTCACACGTCTAGACGTTTTTTTTTTGCGTAGGGACCCCCGGAAAAAATATGCAGATTC